AAAAAAAAAAAAAAAAAAAAAAAAAAGGAAACCTACAACCTCATTATATGGCATTGTTCTCAAGCCTTCTAAACTGCCTTTTAACTTCTGAAGTGACTTTGCAATGGTCTTTGGACTCCTCTTACTAAGAACTACCTTAGGAACTCATTTGATAAGCACCTATTCACTCTCATCAGCCTCTTCTTTTTGTCATCAGTTAGCTCCTGCCATTCACATCAACTACCCCTTGTACTGGCTCACACAGACTGTTCCAGTTCTATGACATCATTAGCAGTTCAAGAGCATTTGGCATTAAATAGAGGAGATAAGTATGGTAGATCTTATCCTTGAGAAGCCAAGCTCCTGCTGGGTGTGGTGGTGGGCACCTGTAATCTCAGCACTCAGAAGGCTGAGGCAGAAGGATCGGCCCAAGTCCCAGCCCAGCCTGGGCTACATAGTGAATTCAGGACCAGCCTGAACTACACAGTGAGACCCTGTCTCAAAAAATGAAAAGCACAGCCCAGTCTGCTCCATTCCCCTCCCTGAATATACTATGTCCTCCTTCTGGAATATACCCACTTCCAAATCTTCCAAAATTGGGCTGTTTGTTGTCTTCACCATAACTTCTATAACTACAAGTACCTGCCTCTGCTGCCCTACTGGACTGTGAGCTGTTTGTGGTGTTTACCCATCTTTAATCCCTTTGAGCTCCCAAGACTTCCAACTCCCTCTTAGGTGCTCTCTGTGCTTTCATCCTGGCCCTCCACAACCCTGGCTCCTCAGTCTTTCAGACTACTCTTCAGACTCTTGTTGTCTCTCTTCTCAGATGCCCTAAGATGGGGCTTGCAGTCTTTTGCTCTTTTTTATTCTTCCTTTTGAGAGTCAACTACTGTACTACCCAAAGTTCCAACATATCCTTGCTTCACCCTCTTGTGAACTCTTTCTTGAACCCCTCTCAGTGACTCGTGGTCACTCCCAATCTCAGCAAGCTCCTAACCAACTTCTGTCATCTCCCACAAGCCAATTCCTTTTCCTGATGACTGGAGTTCTGTGATCACCATTCATCTTTCTGGGTTGGCCTTTCCTCCAGACTATCTCCCTCATCTTTCATGCCCACTATCTCTTCCCTTCCAGGTCATCTGAGAAAAGAAATAGGTTCTGAGGCCAGGTTGCTCCAGGTATACACTTTATTAACCATAAACTCACTCAGAACCACCACCTCCTTTTTGCAAATTTAAGTAACTATAACTGTTCTGTAGGGTTTTCCAATCAGGATTAAATGAGACAGAATTCACTAAAGTGCTTAGCCTATACCCAGCAGGTGCAGTAAGCACTCCATAAATGTTAACTATTATTGCAGTCACTGTTTTCTCAAAGCAAAATATTTCAGGAGTCTCACAACTCACCTCTGCCTCTTCTGAACATTCTTTCCGAAGGAAACTCACATGCAACCTCTAATAAGTTTCAAGTGCTTCATCCTTATGGCTCTCTCATACAATAATACTGGTATATCATTTTATAAAAGTTGAATAAGCCAATATTTAAACATATGTCTGACTCTAAAGCCCGTGCCCTTTCCACACCTCCAAATTACCAGGTAACCATAAAATACCGTTTTTCATACATCCTCCTGCTCAAGAAAATCTTATCACCATCCCCTTCAGAGGAAACCCAAATTCATGACCCTACCATTCACCATCTTGTATTATTCCCCACACAAGGCAGCGTCCTCCTACAGAAACCTGTGCTCCAGAGAAACCGATCTACGCCACAGCCACACGGTGTACATCCCCAACTTCCTCCCGCCACTGCCTTGCCCTCTTTAAATCCAGCCTTCTGGTCCAAGCCCAGCTAGGGTTCAGACCTCTTCCCAGTCCCTTTCCTGACCCCAGGCCTTCAGCAGGTCCCGCTGGGCCCCTGCAGCGCTTGCTCGGATGCTTTTCGACATTAGCTGCTTGCTGTCCTGCATTTCTTTGCGCTTGAATTTTCTCACCAAGGTGTAAAACTCTGCTCTTCAGGAATGGGCCTTATTCGTTTGTCTGTATCCCAAGTAGACCAGTCTTACGTATAGAAAGCGCTGAACAAATATAGGGTGTTTGGAATGAAAGAGGAGCCCCCTAGCTGGGAGATCTCTTTGCCTCCCGGAATGAGCGAGGCTGAGCTTTGCTGAACTTCGCCCAGAGCTTCCCAGAGCGGCCCCCTCCAAGGCCTCCCAGCCTACCTTCACCTCCCGCCCTGCGCGCGGCCCGCAGGCCCCTCTCGGGCCACCCTGTCCTTCCCAGCCCCTGCCCCAGGCGCCCCTCAGTCCCCTCCTCTAGGCTCTCAGACCCCTCTCCTCCAGGGACCGCCCCCCCAGGCTCCCCGTGGCCTTCAGAACCCGAACCCCGACTTCCCTCCCCAAGCCGGGGTTACTTCGCCTCTTCGCCCGCCCTCGGGGCTGCCGCCCGACCCCTCCTCC